TGCTCAGTGGTAAAGAATCTGCCTGCCAATGCAGGAATCACAGGAGATGTGGGTTCAACTCCTGAGTTGGGAAGATCCTCTGGAGGAGGAAACGGCAACTCTAGTATTCTTGCCTGCATAATCCCATGGACAGAAGAGCCTGGTGGGCTACAGTCCACAGGGTCACAAGAGTTGGACACGACTGAGCAACTGAGCACAGCACACAATTTTATCTCAGTATGGTCTTGACTTTGTAGTTTCTAAGAACAGTTGAGATTGGACACATATACTGTTCACGTGAAATATCTGTTCATATCTTTTGAACTTTATCACTGTCTTCCTTATTGAATTTCAGGAACTTTTAATGTATATTAGCTATCATTCTGTTACATGATGGAAATAATCTTCCAGTTTGTGACTTGCCTTTTTACTTTATGATGTCTTCTCATAAACAGAACTTTTGAGTTTTACTATGGTTGAATTATGAATTTTTCTTAGTTTAGTGCTTTCTTTGCTTGTGTATAATATTTTCACTGATTCATGTCTTACTTTTGAGATTTTTAAAATTCATTTGAAATTTTAGGATGGCATGACACAGAAATTCAGTTTCTTTTTCCCTTTCCATATGGATAAGCAATTTTCCTGGCTCTATCTATGGAACATTATTTTTCTCCACTAAACTGCCATATTGCTTTTAAAAAATTTTTGATTGATTTTGTCTTCCCTGCCTTGTGTGGGCTTCCCCTGGTTGTGGTGAGTAGGGCACTCTTTATTGTGGTCTGCGGGTTCCTCACTGTGGGGGCTCTCTTGATGCATGGGCTTAGTTGTCTCCAGGATCATCCTAGACCGGGGATTGAACCTATGTCCCCTGCACTGGCAGGGGGATTCTTATCTACTGTGCTACCAAGTAAGTCCCCAGGCTGCTTCTTTTGTACATCAATTTCTCTATATATGTGTGGGTCTCTTCCTTGGCCTTACTGTTTAATTTGTAATATGTACCAATTCTACAATAATTGCTACACTTTTTAAATTCTTCATATGTGGTAGGGTAAATTCCTTCTCCCCTTTGTTCTTCAGAAATTTTTTAAACTATTCTTTACTATTATTGACTTTTTGTTCTATATAAACTTTCCATGGACTATACGGTCCATGGAATTCTCCAGGCCAGAATACTGGAGTGGGTAGTCTTTTCCTTCTCCAGGGGATCCTCCCAACCCAGGAATCGAACCAGGGTCTCCTGCACTGCAGGCGGCTTCTTTAAGTGCTGAGCTACCAGGGAAGCCCCATATAAATTTTACAATGAACTTGTAAAGTTCTACCAAAAAAAAATGTTGAAACTCTGACTGGAGTTGCATTAAACCTACAGAGCAATCTGAGGAAAACTTGGCAGCACATGATAAGATGGGATATTTCTACATTTACTTAGGTTTTCTTTAATGTCTCCCCGTAAAGAATTGAAAACAAAAACAACTGATTTTGCACATCTTTTGTTAAATTTATTTTTAGGTAACTTTAAATTACGTGGCTATTGTCAGGTTGTTTTTTAAAAATATTTTATATTCTAATTACTTGATAATGATCCAAAGACATGTCACCAGCTTTTTGTATCTTCATCTTATAACCAGAATCTTAGATAAACTATAATTGTTAGCTAATTGTAGTCTTTTAAGTTTTCTAGGTTGATAATCCTATCACTTGCAAATAATAACCATTTTACATCCTCCTTTGAATGCTTATATTATTGAGAGTAGCAGAGTTCAATGTTGAAAAGTAGTAAAGACAGGCATTCTAGCCTCATTCCCCAGTTTTAAAGAGAATGTTTCCTCATATGGGATGATGCCATTGAGTTTTGTTACTTGTGTTTTTTGTTTTACTATATATATATCACTTATCAGTTCAACCAACTCTGCCATGCCCTATTAAAGCATGAATGTCATCAGCTGTATCTAAATCTATTACCTTTTCTTTTATAACCTGTTACTATGGTAAATGACAATTATAGATTTTCTAATACTAAGCCATCCTTAATTTGCTAATGGAATAGTGTGTTTCGTATATATCACTGAATCTGATTTGGTAATTTTTTTTTAGTATTTTTATATCAGTATTTATCAGATAAAATTATATATATTTAATCTTTTTGTTCTAACTAGTTAGAAAATATAATTGGTACAATTTTATAATTTTCTGCAATTTTTGTAAATGCTCCATTTTGTAAATTTAAATTTGAAAAGAATGTAGATTCTCTTAATTGTTGGATGCAGAAATCTATGTATGCCCATTGGACCAAGCTTATTGTTTTCTTCAACATTTTATATCTTTGCTAATTAAAAAGTCTGTTGTCCAAGAATGTGAGTTGAACTCTTCCACCCTAATGAATATTTGTTATTTTTAAGTAGCTCTTAAAGTTTGTATTTAGAGACTACTTTATTAGATACCTATGTGCTTTGAATTACTGTACCTTTTTGGGGAATTCAATCTTTTATTATTGTGTAGAAACACTCCACTCTTGGTGACAAAAAGTCTTTTTTTTAAGATGCATCTAAAATCAGTTTTGTTCAATATTAAGTAACGCCAGCACAGCTTCAGTTTGACTGGTTTTTTGCATCATATATATTTCCTCCTAATTTTACATTCAACTTCTCTATGTATATTTTAGAGTGATCTTTTTGTAAACATTATAAAGTCAATTTCCTCTTTTACTTTTAACTAGTCAGTCAGCTTTCTTTATTTACATTGCTATACATTTAGACTTCTACCATCTTATCTTTTAGAATTTATATACACTATATTATTTCAGTGAATATCCTTGACATTTTATGATTATACATTTAACTAAAGTTAATCAATACCTTGACACCCCAACAACACAATAGAATACTTTAGCTCTGATCTTCTCTCCATTTTCTTACATTTGCTATCCAGGTTTCTGTTGACTTAACCTAGGGGAAAAAAGGCTTCTATGTGTGGACTTGGTTTATTTAGATTTCCTTGTTTACCATTTTATTTGCTTACAAGCCTTTTTTTGTATCTTAGATCATCATTTTGGGCTCATTTTCTTTCTTCCTTTTGAGTACGACTCTTGATCCAAACCCTCTTTTAAAAAATATTTTAAATTGCTCTGATTCTTAAAAAAATAAGTTTACTTTCTACACAATTCCAGGTTGACATTTCATTTTTCAATGCTCTGAAATTAATATTCCACTGCTTCTATTGTTGCTATTGAAAAGTTAACTGTCTGTCATCTTTCCTTCATAGATAATTAGTCCTTTCTCCCTGGTATTTTCAAAATGTTGTCTTTGCGGTCTGCAGTTTCACTATAATGATGGAATTGTCCAGGCAAGAATACTGGGGTGGGAGCCATTTCCTTCTCCAGAGGATCTTCCTGACCTGGGGATGGAACCCAGGTCTCCTGTTACTGCAGGCAGACTACTGTCTGAGCCATCAGACTACTGAGCTCAGACTACTGTCTGAGCCCTTTTTATTAGTCCTTCCCCCTGCGCATTTTCAAGATGCTGTGGTTTTCATGATTTGTGGTTTGCAGCTTCACAACAATGATTCTATGCATAAATTTATGTTTCTGCATGGAGAATATGGTGGTACTTAAATATTTTTCATCTCTGGGAAATTCGCAGCCGTTATCTCTTTACATACTGCCTCTCTTCCATTTCTTCTGAGTCTCCCCTTCCATCTTCCATACCTCTTAAACCTCCTTTCATATTTTTTCATTTTCTCATCACTTTATTTGACTTACTAAGTTCTTTTTTCACCTGTCTCATCTGCTGTAATGCTTCCACTGAGTTTTAAGCTTGGTCAATTATATATATATTTAAAAATTTTTCAAAATGTTAATTTCTTTCAAATATCATTTTACATACTTATGCTGGTAAATTTTAGGCATATAAACATTTTTATATAGTTATATTCTGCATCTAAGGATCCCAATATTTGCAATCTTTTGAAGGGGATGTCTATATTTGTTTTTATTGGCTTCATTAAAGATAACTTGCTCTCACTCATCTATTTAGTGATCTGTGAGAGTGTATTGCTTGATTTTAATTTGTGAAAATCCTATACATTTCCATCCTGGAGAAGTTTTCATTCAGAAAATATTTGATTCTACTAGTAGACGAACAGTGATATGTAAAATAGAACTTGAGCTCCTCTAGAGAATTTTAGCACAGAATGTAAGTTCTATTGCAATTCCAAAGTTTGTTATCCCCATAACGGTGGTGCTACAGAAATTCATCCTTGGCTACTCTATTTATTCTGAGTGCCTGCATTTCCAAAGTCAGCTACCTGCCATCCTGGCTCTTATCCTCTCCAACTTCCAACTTCTCTGGACTAATCTCCCCATCTCTGAGTATTCTCACTCTTGTGCTTGGATACTCCCTAACTCTTAGATGCTGAAGCCCTAGTGTGTCCAGATTCATGCTCAAAAGTTTTTTGACTACTTTGGAGTGAGGAATTGACAGAGACCACTTTTATCTTTAATGAGATTAGCAATGACTCAAAATATGTGTCCTTTTGGATGTCTGAGAGCTTCTACTTAGTCATGATACTAGAAGTAGAAATCATGCAAGATTTTTGACACTTAGAAGATACTTTAAAAACTTACCTCTATTTATATATGTATATATATATACATATATATATACATATACATATATATATACATATAAATATATAATATTTATATACATATGTTTATAAATACACATAGATATATTTGTATATACATATGAAGCTTATATCAGAGAAACACTAGATATCAAAAAATAGCTAGAAGGTAAATAAGAATTCTGAATTAAAAATACGATCCATGGGTTGGCATTTGTTCTCTTGGGTTTCTCATACTCACCCCTCAGTGCTTTGGAAAGATTAGCAGCACTTGTAAAACTCCTGTTAGACTTCAATCTATAACGCAGCTTTCATTTAGTCAACATATAATGGTGATTTACATTATGACCTTAAATTTGTGTCACAGAGATAGCATGGATCATTTTTACATTTCTAAAATATTCCATTCATAATTTTTTAATAAGATGACTACAAAATGGCTAGTAATCTGTTTTCATTTACCTATTTTCAAAAAGTCATGTCCTAAAATTAAATAAATTAATCCCAAACAAAAGTACATACAATACATTTTAGCATTGATGTATACCATTCGTCATTTATGAAGACTTTGGTGCTTTCTTTTTTGTACTTTTCTATCCTTAGCGTCTAGCACACAGAAGGCATTGCATAAGTAAACACTGAATGAAAGATGCTACTAAACTTACAGGAAAAAAATTCAAAATTTTCCCAGTATTACCAGTGAAGTAGAAAATTCGGTTTGAGTCTTAATGATTTTGCCCTTCCCCAGGACTAAAAGTACCTGCAAGAAGATTAACTAAAGTTAACTTGTCTTCAAGATCTTGAATATAGTAAAGCTAATACATATTTTGACCAATAGTAAGTTTCCAAAAGGAAATAATACTTAAAAACAAAGTTACAAATTACAATCTATTTAAACTTTAATTTGTGCATTTGTGGTAATTTATGACTGCAAAACACTTTTTCTTAAAATGACATAAAGGCACATTTCATTTGAATGCATAGTGTACCATTCTAAAATATCCTAATTTCCTTACAAAGTGCTTGAGCAGTCACTTACACATACAGTAATAACAAAATATATTTACACTCTATAGAGTTTAAAAATTTTAAATCTGACTAAAATATATATATTTTTTAAACTACAGAAAAAAAAATTAGTGCTTTCTTCAGCTTAATTGTGTGAATATACCCTGCCCTCTAATTTTTTTAGTGATTGACTTTAATTAAAAAAAAAAAATTCTGTACACTGTGTAGTTACAAAATGCTATGTCAGTTTTTAATGCTAAAAACCTATTTTAGACATTGCTTTCTATGCATATTTGAGAACCAGAAAAGGTGAGCAGACTGTACCTCAAAAGTATTTAGTGTTTTTTTAACGTTGTATTAACACTGTTTAAATTAAAAGCAGACAGTTTAGCCAAGATCCTCTACTGTCCTTTACCAAGGAAGTGAACTGGCATTTTAAAATAATTTTAAAACAACATATTGCTCCCTTTTCCTTTAAGATTTTCCCCCAAGGGAACATGGTTTGTAATCAATTTATAAGGAAATAGAAATTATCTCTGAACAATTTTAACTGTTCTCAGAGCATAGCAAAGACATGCCAACATACCCTGGCAAGGCGGAATACTCATGTATGTTTTAAGCTCAAAAAACCTCTATAAATCAACAGGATTTCATTTTCTCATAGGATTTAAACTTCAGCATTTTTTTAAGACATAAGACAATAGTGATTAAATGGTTAATTCATTATTGGTTAGTTAACAACTTGCTATTCCTGAGGTATGATGACCCTAACATGCTAAGCATGGCATCAAAGATGTTATTATTGAACTAAGGAAAAACAATAAAGTCATGGACTAGGAGGGAAAATAATTGAAACAAAACGAAGAAAAAAACCCAAAACTCCAGGCAAGTAAAAAAGTCATGGCTTGCAAAAAGACTTTCCTATAAGGGCATTAAAAAGCCACAAATGGATCCTTGTACAAAGTATTTGATCAAATTATTTTTGAAACTTTTGAGGTACAGCTTTAGTGTTATAATAATTTTTATAAAATATAGACTGTTTTATCAAAAATATTTATACATTCTGTTATAATATATTGCTTCTGCCCTCAGTAACTGCCAATATAAAATCTGGATCCAGTGGCCTAAAATGTACAAATGCACTTAATGTAAATGCTGGAGTCTGAGGTGTCTGCTTGGCCACTGTACAAAAGTGATGAAGTGGTGAAATTAAATAATAAACCTACAACATAGAATACATTACAACTTGCACATATACATGTTCACAGCATGTATACAATGATAATCCATATGTTTTAACAAAGATATAGTTCCCTTCTACAGTAGACACAAGAACAAGATGAACTAGGTTGATAAATGTACAATGCATATCAAAAAAAGGAGCAATCAGTTCACTGATTCTGGAAGAAAGTATGAGTGAATGTACTAAGCATCTAGACTTTGGGAATGCATACAGGTAACAGTATCTTGGTTCAGGATGATCATTAAGTCCTCATTCTTAAAATTTTAAGTAAATGCAGATGTTTAGTTGTTCCTGTTTGTTTCAGCATGGTTGATTTAATAAGATTGTTTGGCAAATAGCTCAGCTGGAAAGCTATGAGGCTCTGTTACATGGTTGGTAAAGATAAGGCAATAAAATTTTCTAATAAATATAGAAAATGTATAATACAAGACATCAATTCATTTCATTTTAAAAAAGCCCCAAAATGTGCATAAACTATTACTACATTTTTTTGGATATTACAGTAATTTCTTTAAAAAAATAAGAGCATTTGCCTTATTCAAACAGAATCATATTATGTGTGAATAGTAATAACATCCTAGGCCCTCTTTTCCTCTTTTTGTAAAACACACCTAAGGAAAATTAACTAATTAATTTTCCTTCCATTTAAGGCAGGCATACGGCAAAGCTAGGAACTGTAGAAGAGTGTTTTTTTTCCCTCTGATTTTAAGAAATAAGACTGTTGATCCAAAAGTATTCATTTGTGATAGATTTTCATGACTGATGTTCATTCAGCTTAAACTCCATGAAACTGTTTCCAGTGTTCAGAATTTTGTTTAAAATATACTGAAAAGCCACTTTTCAAGAAGGTATTAGAATAGTACTTTTAAACACATCTTCATATGTTAAAAAAAAAAACTCAGAAGCTTTTGTTGGCACAGAGAGCAAATGAAGGGCTATTTTTAAGAGGTCTTCTTGTGAGTCAGTCTGCTTGGTTTCACAGTGTGTAGGAACTTAACACCAATCAGCAATGTAGTCAAAATCTCTGAACATTTCTTGCTCCTCTTCTGAAAGTATCCTTGGTTCTCGAGGTGGAGTCAGAATAGGTGCTTCTGAGGTAAATTCATCATCAAAATTACTAACATCTTCCCGTCCTCTAATTGTAGGTACAAATGGCGGCTTAACTTTTTTGTCCATCAGAGCGCTCCAATCAATTAGCTGGATTACAAAATATAAAATGACCAGTTTAGTTTCCTACTTCTAACTGCTAGAGTATCAAAAAATTTTTAAACTTTCACACTTACTCGGAAAAACGGGTGTTTTTTCACATCCTCTGCATCTTTTTCACCAGCTCCAAGGCGTCGCTCAGGATTTCTTCTTAATAACTAACACAATATAAAGGAAGAAAGTAAATATAAAACCAGAGATTCACTGAGAAGGATTCTCATAACTTGCAACCTTTTAGAGTTTCTTTTGGTATGTGTTTGTCTAAACCATGAACATCTATGACTGAAAAACAACTTCTAAAATGCTACTGGAAAATATTCTTAATATCAGTCAGTTCAGTCGCTCAGTAGTGTCTGACTCTTTGAAACCCCATGGACTTCCCTGTCCAATACCACTAGGCTTTGCTGTCTATTACCAACTCCCTGAACTTGTTCAAACTCATGTCCATTGAGTTGGTGATGCCATCCAACCTCTTATCCTCTGTTGTCCCCTTCTCCTCCTGCCTTCAATCTTTCTCAACATTAGTGTCTTTTCCAGTGAGTCAGTTCTTTACATCAGGTGGCCAAAGTATTTGAGTATCATATTTATTTTATAAATAAAACATATATATTACAACAAAATTCTTACCCTTCTCATTATTGAAATGGCTTCTGTAGATAAGAACCTTGGATACCTTACTTCATCATTTACAATACTGTCAAATACTTCCTCTTCATCATCACCAGGAAAGGGAGACTAGGAGAAATACCCCTGAGTTAGTCAAAATGAGTTCAATACAGTAAAATCTTATCTACTCATAGTTCTGAAATACAACAAAGAACCATGCAGTGAGGAAAATAAGAAAAAGAAAAAGGAAAAACAAAACCAAACAAAAACCCTCCACCAAAACAAATAAGGACTACAAGAAGCTACAACAGACACACAATAGATACGTATCTATTATCCAGAGGACACACCATATACGCTTATTGAAATCTTGTGGAAAGACAGAAGGAAATGCGTAAGGTGAAGTGTTACTACAGAGGGAAGCACAGTTTGTGGAGACTCATCAGACATGAATGTGTTCCGAATTCCACAGTCAATAGCAAATTAATAACGGCAAAACACAATTAGAGACAATTTGCCTGTACCAAAAAGCAACTGTAAACAAAATTAAACTGAAAGGAGCCAAAAAACACATTATTTCCAGGCATATTTAATGCTCTATACACAACAGGTCTTGAGGCATTTCAGCAGAAGAATGTTAAGATGGCTGCTCATAGTGACAGTAATTACATTGAATAATAAAAAAAGTAGTTAAACAAACATTCAGTATAACAATTTGATGTACATAGCGATAAACTCTCAACTACACTGAAAATATTGCTATGAAATATGACTTATTACCTCAGAATTTCAGACACCTTAGATTTGGCTGCTTACTTCCTGTTAATCTTTAAAGAACAAGAGCCAAGCAGAAAGCAGTATCAACAGGAGAGGGACCTCTGACCTGAGGAACCCACGAAAATCATTTCAGATCCAACCTACTAAAGCTGAACTGCTCACCTTATTGCTTGTATCTAAGAAAATTTCAAACTGTTCAGTTATCAAAATTTCAGTTCTGGTTTGATAAAACTTGGTTTTATCAGGCTTGCTGTATCAAAATCAGGTTTGTTTATTTACTCACTCAAAATACATAAATTGAATACCTGTTATATAGGACAATATAATTTCTGGGATTGAGACAGTAAGTCAGGGGGAAATCCTATTTCACAAGGATTTTCAATGAGAATTTCAAATGGTAATACGAAGCAATTTTGACTCCTATCTGATAAGTCAATTTTGTGTTTGAAAACTATCACTCCACAAATCTTTGAATAGTGAAAATATATTTACATACTTGTTAAACTGTTAAAAGTTTTTTTTCTGAAATAGATTATAAGCTAACAGTACTAACAATGGAAGGTTAACAAATCTATTTTAAGTACACATTAAAAGAATTCAATAGTCTGATCAGATGTCAAGGATCTAATTCTAATATCTAAGGTTATTTTAAACTTCACTGGTATCTTCCACTCTTCTTTGGCACAGAGAAAGGGGACCTGATATGTTAGTTTATTCCTAGGGTTGATTCAAGTCCTCACAACTCATACAAATTTGAAAACATGATATATCCAGTGAGTTTTCAATCATTTGTAACAATAGAGGAATTAGAAATAAACTTTAGCCAAACCTCACTTTTATAAATTTAAGAAAAGGTAATGCTAAGATTTCACCAGTGCTATAAAATTACAAAATATATGTACTAATGAGTTTTAAGTTTCTTTTCCCAATTCTCCTTTTATGGAGGTACTAAAAAGAAATAAAATTGCAAAAGGCAATTGTGAAGAAATAGCCAGATTCACTGTCTTTTATCTTCCAGTAAGAGCTTAATCAATGAGAAGTTCCTTTAAACAATATGAAACAGGAACGTTCTCACTGTTCACTGCCAAATCTCCCAGATACTTTAGAATCAGGGGGAGTAAAATTAATTGGCTCTTAATTCTATAGTATTTGATAGTAGACTCTCATCTTTTGCATGTTATCTCCAATATGAAGAGTAAATTTTAAGCAAGCACCTAATTTTTGGTAACAAATCTCATACATAATTGAACCCTAAATTTTTTTAAAAAGCAACAAAAATGTTACTTAAAAAAAGTTTAAGTATGTCAGAGCTTATAGAAACCACTATTATAGTACTTCTGGCACTTGTAGAAAGTAAAGAAAACTGTGAATAAGGTGTAAAATATATCTTTCTGCCTTAAAGCACTGTATGCTTTTCTCTTTTCTAAACAGAGGTGAAATAAATTTGTGTGGATGCCCTATCTTGGGGGCAGCAAAGTACAGTGGTTTAGAGATTAAGTTAAAATCCAAGCTCCACTATATGAGAGCTGTATAACTTTAAAGTTACTAACTTCTTTGTGTCTCTAATTATGCATCTGGAAATAAACATAAGACTAGTATTGAGATCATTAAAGGTTGATGAAAAATTAAGTGAGCTAATACTTATAAAGCACATAGAACAGTGCCTAACCTAGCACATAGTACATACTTTAATTCACTATTTCTTTTCAATCTTTCCCAAGGTTCCATTCCAATTTACATATCAAAAGGCACTGTCAGTGGATGAACTAAAATCATTCATTTACTTGTTTGGATATGTGCCACTAAATGACAATCACAGAGCAAAACTAGAAATTTCTGACATTCAACAATTTAGCCATTCATTCATTCAGCTACTAGTTTTTTCATGCTTAGAATGTACAAGGTTGGTCACTGGCATTGGAAAAACTGCAGAACAAGGAACCAATTCCCTAAGGAAATTTTTCTTTCAAGACCATCAAGCCCATCTAAGTAGTTTTCAATTACTTGTCTAAATATTTACTCTTTCTTAATTCCACCCTAATTCATCATTTTCAACAATTTATAACAAAATAGTAACTACTTCTTACTGTTTTATTAATTAAATATAATTTACTGTTTTCTAAGTGGTAACAATTCCTGTGTAAAACTAACTTATCCCCAGAAATTTAAGTTAATATAAAGAAAATAGTAGGAAAAAAATGTTAATCTTTTCAATTCTGCTATATTGCTTCTGAAAGTAACATTTATTTCCAACCAATGTATAGCTGACATTTCTTTATAGATACAGACTACATTCCTCTTATCAGTCTTCCTGCTTTCTATTTCCTATGAAATGATCAGCTATGTATGACTGTGTTTAAAAATCATAAAATATAACCATGCGAGTGTGCTAGAGCACTTCAGTTGCATCCTATGCTCTGTGATCCCATGGACTGGAGCCCACCAGGCTCCTTTGTCCATGGGATTCTCCAGGCAAGAATACTGGAGTGGGTTACCTTGCCCTTCTCCAGGGTATCTTCCCGATCCAGGGGCTGAACCTAATTTCTTACATCTACCTGCACAAGCGGGCAGGTTCTTTACCACTAGCGCCACCTGGGAAGCCCATAGCAACACTAAATTAAACTGTTTCAAAACACCGGTATACATTCCGCAAATATAAAAACCTAAAAAAAGACAGTGAAGGTAATATAGGATCATAAGCATTACTAATACATATAAGTATTTATAAAGCTTAAGTTCTACTTATGCAGGAAACATATTAAGTAGTTCTATAAATGACATGCTTTGTTCTTTCAATCATCTTTCCCTTTTATCTATCTTATACTACTTACCTCACCAACGAGCATTTCATATATAAGGACACCAAGGCCCCACCAATCTACAGCCCTTGTATAGGATGTTTCTGTTAACACTTCTGGGGCAAGAAATTCAGGAGTGCCACAAAATGTGCTTGTTCTGTCTCCATATCCCATTCCTGAAAAAGATAAAATTCAAATACTTGTTAGCAAAGAAAAAAATCTAGCATAAGAGTCAGAAGATATCGTTAGGAAGCAAAATTAAAGGTGTACATTTGTGCATGGTGATCAAACCCAAAATACATCAAAGAGTCTTTTTTTTATATTTATTATTTTTGGCTTTACCAGATCCTAGCTGCAGCATATAGAATCTTTAGTTGCAGCATGCAGGATCTTTTAGCTGTGGAATGTGGGATCTAGCTCGCTGACCAGGAATCAAATCCAGATCCCCTGTACTGACAGCTCAGAGTCCTGGTCACTAGACCACTAGGGTAGCCCATGAGAAAGATTTTAAAGAAAATGCTAAGAATTAATATGGAGTAAACTGTGCAAAAGCAACTCTATTATTTAATTAATGGATAAAAATAAATAAAATTTCCATGTTTCATTTTACCACTTTTTTTTTCTTTCTTGTCATTACTTTATTAGTGCTGTTAAGAAGTTATAAAAGAAAAAAAAACAAACTTATTCTAAACTTTAATTTCTACCCTGTCAACTAAATTTTTAAAATATACTTACTTGCTTTATTATAAAAATAGCATTGAGTATAGTCTGAAAACTACCAAAAGCAAACCCTTGGATAATCAAGAGTTGAATGAGTGTATCATATTATATAGAGATACAGTATTAACATTTTTTAGCTAACTGGTTTTCTAAATACATTCTTCATATTTAGTCACTAAATCGTGTCTGACTCTTGCGGTCCCATGGATTGTAGCCTGCCAGGCTCTTCTGTCCATGGGATTCTCCAGGCAAGAATACTAGAGTGGGATGCCATTTCCTTTTCCAGGGTATCTTCCTGACCCAGGAATTGAACCTGGGTCTCCTGCATTGCAGGCAGATTCTTTACCGACTGAGCTACAAGGGAAGCCCAAATATGTTCCTCAAAATATAATAATAAATTAGTCAAATAAAATCCTACTTATTGAAGAAAATGTCTGAACATATTCTACAGTGTTAAAAGCTCATCTTATGATGATCACATCATCTTAGAAAGCTGACTTGGTACTTGGGACAGGAGGAGATGAGTCTCAGGTAACTTATAGGCACAGGTGATACCTGAGAAGCATAAAGGATGAACAGATGTGAGCAAATAGATTGAGATAAGTGATAGTGGAGGAAAAACAAAGACTGTAAGCAGTTTGGTTTTGCTGGAACAGAAGGTACTAAGAAGAAAGCTGCGAGAGATCTGGCTGGAGAAGGAGGCTGGCAGATTAGGTGGGGCAATATATATCACGTCTTTGCCACTGAAGGTTTTCAGTAGGGACGTACCATGTTCAGCTTTGAGTTTATATGGGCCTCTTTTGTATTTTAGCAATTATATGGCAGGTTGAGATTTGAGGAAGAAAAAGAATAGAGACAGAAAAGTTAAGAGGCTATTAAAGTAGCCTTGTTAAAACAAGATGATGATTGGAAATAGAGGGGAGTAGAAAGGGAGAGGGGAGTAGAGGGGTGATGAAAAACTTATATATTGTTTGAAAAAAAACCAAACATCAAGGAGGTAGATATCAATACAATTTGGTGATTAACTGGATGTGGAAAGTAATGAAGAGGAGACAGTCCAGAACAATTTCACATTTTCAGATTGGGAGACTGGGAGGATTATGGCGCCATCAACTGCAAATGAGACTGAGGAAAAGAACTATTTCTGTTTGGATAATGATTCAGGTACCTACTGACTGACTGTTCAAGTAAAACTGTCTAGTAGATAGTTGATTATATATGTTTGGAAAGGAAATGATAGATTTGGGAATCATTAGTATATAATTGCTAGCTAAAAACTACCTAAGAATAGCAATGGGCTAAGGCCAGACACCGAGGAGCAAAACCATTTCAGTCAACAATGTCCAATACATGTCCAATACAGTGAGATCCAATAAAAGAAAAAAACTTTCACTGGACTCAATAATTAGGAGGTCAGTGGGTAAATAATGGACAAAGCTTTACAAAATTCATTCATTCATCTATTCAACTACTTATTAATTATATATTCACTAAATACTTAAGATGTGCTGAGCACTACAGTATATGGTGGAAAGAAAGCTGAATAAGAAACAAGAAGTACCAGGGTAGAGAGGGACACAATGTTTCCTACAATAAAATATATTAAATGTACCTATTTACTATATTAGGCACAGTGCCACAAACTGCGGCACTATTTCTAGTTGTCATAATACTCCTAAACAAGAAGAATTACATTTATTTTATAGCTGAGAAGACAGACTCCATGAGGTTAGAAGTAACTTGTCCAAAGACACAGAGCAAATAAGTGGCAGAGTCAGGATTCAAGGGTGGTGCCTAAGCCCATGCTTTTTACACTTTCTTATGCTACATATGATTCAAATTTTCCCAGTTTAGATATTTATTTACCTCTGTGTACACACATACACACACACACACACACACACACACACACATACATAAAAGATTCTTGAGGCATATGCATTTTTTCCTATTTAAAATGTTAAAAGTTTTAAGAGGCAGGAGAGGTTTTCAGGCATATGTAATTTAAACTTACTCAGCACAATCCCAGCAAAGCCAAAAATCTGGTGACTGACCAATGCTTTCTTAGAGTAGTGACAAAATTATTAACCATACAAAGAGAGTCTTATTTTCCATACTGTGATTTCTGAAAACCTAATCTTATTTATGTTCACAGAATAAATTCTTAATAATGTTACAGATTAGGTTACATGAACAATCTGTAACATCTCAATAAAGTTTAACTTTTAATAAATTAAAAAATACATTTTGCTTTCCATAGACAAACCTGAAAACTTCCAAAGCACAAAGCAATAGTAATTTTTTAGAAAAGGCACTTTAAAATATCCAATTACCTTCTTTGCAAAGACCAAAATCAGCAATTTTCACAAAGCCCTCTGTATCTAGCAATAAGTTATCCAATTTCAAATCTCTGTTCAGGATAAAAAAAGCAAAATGAAAAAAAAAATCAATAAAATCAGTAGATAATAAAGTAGAAACATAATTTCAATACGAGTTATACTTTCTCTTTACTAAAAAATGAGTTTTTTCATATTATGGTTTGAGATTTACTATAAATACTATATTATAAATATTCATTTTCTTTTTTTGGCAAGATTATTACTTTACAAAATATAATTTCTGAATATTCCCCCATTATGTAAAAAAGAATGTATCTAAGAGAAATGTTTTATCTATTTAAATATATATTTTAAAGCTTAGAAAGAGTTCATGTATCTTTCATGATACTTATACTTTCATAATATTCAAGCTTAATAAATAAATATGTTAATGGCCATGCCACATGGCATGCAAAATCTCAGTTCCCGTATGAGGGACTGAACTTGGTCTACAGTAGTGAAAACACTGAATCCAAACCACTAGATCACCAGGGAACTCCCGGACTTGTTTGAATTCCCTACATACCATCCATAAGAAAGAACTGTCAAATGAACAGCATAAGTAAGGTATAAACAAGCAGGTTTAACATCCTAAGAGAATAATTCAAAATAAAGAGGAAGTTATTAAGTCATACTAAATGACTACAAATTAACTTGAAAATATTTTATTCTTTTGAGTAAAATAAGGTCATGAGGAAACCATTACCTTGAAAACATTGTTAGAAGTTTGAATAAACTCATGTTTATAGTCTTTTAATTCCGACTGGCCTTCCTACAATTTGTCTGATCTAGAGCAATGCTATTCAAAGTGTTACCCACAGACGACTTGCTGGACTATGAACTATTTCTAACTGGTCTACAATTTGGTAAGGAGTTTGTGCCAGTACATAAACCAGCTAATCAGCTATGTCCTCAAGTACACTTCATTAAGCAAGGCTTAATGAAGGAAGCAAAATGGCACAAGCTACTTATCATGAACAAATTTTCAGTAGAAGTAGCTTATAGAAATTTTCTATAGTGGATCAACTGAACATAAATATTCACTAGGATGAATATTGTTGGTAAATTGTATTATCATAGGCCAGCTTACAATCTGACTATTCTAATTAGGTAATGGTCAGAGGACGTAACAAAGAAGTTCATCATATAATTATTGTGTTAACTATGTCTTTCAAAATTGGGTTTTAACTTTTTTAGTGGTCACTTACCATATGAAAGAGAAAATTATGAAGACGGTTAAACACAAACTATTCTTAATCATCTAATTCTACTTCATATCAAAAAGCAATTAGAAAAGTATCAAAATTTTACTTACCTATAAACGATTTTGTGTTCATGTAAATACTGCAACCCAAGAACTACACATGCAGCATAAAATCTGTTTCAAGAATTAAATCAAAAGAATTTTAATAAATCCCACTGTTTTGAAACCCAGAGTTTATACTTTTATGCTTTGAAGCAGAACTCTAGTTAACTAATTTCACAAATATTTATTGAGTCCTTACTATGTGCCAGACATGTAAGATATGTGCCAAGTATTTTAAAAATAAGAAAAATACAGTCTCTAAAATGGAAGCCATTAACTTCGTCTGGGTGGGGAGTCACTTAAGTCCTTAGAGTAGATATTTTATCTGGTTCTTTAGAAAAAATTACAATATGCCATTATAAAGGCAGAAGGATGTTATGAAAGGTAGAACTTTTGTGGGAGGAATATAGGGCATTTCCCTAAGAGGGAAAAGAATAGCAGTGTACAAGGCATAGAATGTTTGACAACGAATAACAAGTTTGTGGCTGAAGTAAATGATGAGGGAAGAAGTAGTGGAAGATGAGGCTGAGAAGACAGCCTGAGATTTAGTTGCAAAAGACCCTGATTGTCATATTATGAACAAAGGCATACCTTGTTTTACTGCATTTTCACTTTTACTGTATTTCACAGACAACTGTTTTTTTTTTTTTTTTAAACAATTTGAAGATTTGTGGCAACCCTGAATGGAAACACAATGGGTGCCATTTTTCCAAAAGCATTTGCTCACTTCAAGTCTCTGTGTCACATTTTAGTAATTCTCTTAATATTTCAAACTTTTTCATCACCATTATGTTTGTTATGGTGATCTGTGATCTCTGACATTACTATTGCAAAGGCTCAGATGATAGCATTTTTTAGCAAAGTATTTAATTAAAGTATGTACATTTTTTAAAAAGACAATGCTATCATACACTTAATAGACTACAGTATAGTGTAAATGTAACTTAAATGCACTGGGAAACCAGAAAATTCACATGACTCACTTTATTATGATATTTGTTTTATTGCAGTGGTCTGGAACTGAACTTGCAATATCTCTGAGGTATGCCTGTACTGAAAATTCTTCTTTTAGCAATACTGAATCAAACCATACTAAAGAGAGAAAAATGATCAGATTTATGTTAGAGAGAAATTTCTTGACAGTAGTGTGAAGGCTGGAGTGCAAGTAGGTAGACATCCAGAGGGATAAGGAACAGATAAGGCTAAAATGATAGTACGGATGAAAGATCATTAGAACCTCTAATGTAGTGACCACAAAGAGACTAAGAGATGGATTCAAGAGAAACTTTAAAATGAGCACAACAGGACTTAAGTGTCTCATTAGCTATTAATATAAAGGATGAGGGAGAAGGAAAAGCTGAAGATGATTCTCAAGGTTTCCTTTTTATTATAATGAAGAGGTGAAGAAATACAGAAGTAGCCCAAGTTTTGTGGGGAAAGTGAGTTTGTGTTTAGATATTGACCTCAAATTGCCTTGGGACAGGTGAAGACGTCTGGAAATTGACTAATAGGTTTCGACCTTAAGAAAACTTCAGCCAAGCTAGAATGTTAACTCTTGAGGGATTGGACCATGTTTGTCTTTTTCAGAATTCAGCCTAAACGCTGAGCAAAATGCTTGATACACAACAGCCTTAATGAATAAGGAGGTAGGCCACTCATAAATGAATGAATTTAAAAATGCAGGCTGTCTTCAGTGTAGAATAGCCTACAAGGAGACACTTAAGAGAATCTTAATTTTACAAATAATACAAGGATATTTCCTCTATAAAAAACACACAACACCCCTACCCCAAAGCACAGTTTTTCATTCATATAATCTCCATCTCATCCTAAAGCCACTACTATCCACAGAGATAACTGCTTTATTAGTTTGGTGATTGTTCTTCAAACTTCTAGAATGCATTTATGTGTACATATAGATAATACAATTATGTTTTGTGTTTACTTATTTTTACAAAGATGGAGTCATAATTTTGAGAATTTTAAAATTCAACTATTAATAAATATTATTATACATTAGATCTTAAATAATTATCAGAAGTGAAGTCCATTAAAACAATGTGATTCTAAACTTGCTTAAGGTAGCTTTTTTTTTTTTGAAGCAAACTTATTTTTGTGGCAAAACAAAACTGACAATTATAAAAATACCTTGATTTCCCTTTTGTTTATTTGTAAATAGGTTGTCCTAATGATACTTAGTAAATAACTGAGTACAGGGAGTATCTTCAAATTAAACCTTTAAGATAAATATTTCACAGAAGCAGAAAATGAAGCTCTAATTTAAAATCACATAGCTAGAACACAGCAAGGCTAGGACTAATTTTAATTCCACTGTCTCAAGCAATAAGAATATGCTTGCCTAGTATATGTGAGCTACCCCTCCCCGTGAGATGTTCCACTAGTGCACAGAATAGACATAGTCATCATTGTGCCCCTTTAGTGAGTGGAAACAGACAATAAAAATATAAAAAATAAGACAATTTCAGATATCAATAAAGTGGTATGGAGAACATAAAATATAAAACAGAATAGAATGGCCTGATTTAGACATTAGTGATAGAGTGATATTTTAGTAAAGTACTCGGGAAAGGACCTTCAAAGAAGTGACACTGCAGGTGAGATCTGAATGATTACAGGGAGGTACTGCAGATATAAAGCACTGCAATGTAGCATTTTATTCTTCTATTTCACTGGGGTTAATTGTTTCATTGGTACTATGTAATCTGTACTCTCATAAAGAATAAAAAGTGTGTTAATGCAAAATAGGAATTTATATTTATCTCAAAAAAAAGCATAACAAAACAAAAACAAAATTTCCATGGCAGTTAGTTCAGGGCTAGGCACAGTCTAGATGGCCTGCTTTTAATTTTTAAATATGCAGGGAACAAATTCTTAATAGCCACCTACTATTTTGTGGCTTTTGCCTCCTTTATTGAAAGCTTCACTATCCACCAGAACTAATGCCCTATTTCTTTATTTGAAATTTGAAAATATGACAGTACTACTATCTGTTCTACCTCTAATGGTTATGATAAGAATCAAATAAAGGGAGGAAAGTAAAAATATTACACAAATGTCAATTGTTAGAATACAGACAAGAGATAAAGATTTTATAATAAACCCAATAAAGGTTTACTGAGCTTCCCTGTGGTAAAGAATCCTGCCAGTTCAGGAGATGCAGGTTTGATCCCTGGGTCAGGAAAATACCTTGGAGAAGGAAATGACAACCCACACTCCAGTATTCTTGCCTCGGAAATCACATGGACAGAGGAGCTTGGCAGCTTACAGTCCATGAGGTCACAAAAGAGTCAGTCTCAACTTAGTGATTAAACAACAACAACAAAGATTTACTAATCACTGGTTTATGATTTTTATGTTTTGGAGGCAGAATTTAGATGTTGCAGGTAAGGAAAAAAAGAGAATCAAGAATGACTCCTTGTGTTTTGGCCTGAACAACCGGTACATGGTATTACCGTTTAATAAGAGAGAAGACTAGAAGAGCAACAGGCTAGGAGTGGTGGAAATGGGAAACATCAGGAGTTCATTTTGAGGTACTTGAAATACTTATCAGCTACATAAAGGGAAAAGTCAAGTTGGCTGCTGAATGTTACCAGAGCTGGAAGTTAGGGAACGAGGTAAGGGCTGGAAACATAAATTTGGTAAACACTGGCATATAGAGTATAGCGATTAACAGTAAATTTTCCTAGGTTCAAATCCCTAGCTCCACACTTAAGAGCTATAAAACTGAGATAACAACAGGGGGAGAATACATACACATTATGTTTAGTCACAAGTGTTTGTTATTATTTATTCTTTTGCATCTGAATAAGCAAAACTTCCATATAATATCACACTCAAAAACTACAAAAAGGATTATGGTGATAAGTTAAAGTAATTAACACAATACCTGACATCTAGTAAGTATTCAGTGAAATATAAATTTTAAACAGTATACTCAGTTATTTATTATCATAAATCTGGATTCTATGCCTTTCATTGGAGGTGACATGCATATCAAGTTCTTTTATATTTTTTCAGAGATATTTTAAGGATATGCATTAAGTATTTTAATACTTAAGGCACACTATTTTAAACTACCCCTTAAAATGCAAATATAAATATTTCATACAAATATATGATAAGAACTCTTCTACATTTTTTTTGTCACTTAACAATGTACTTTGAGTATAGTTAATATTTAAAGCCATGGTCCCAGATGGCATTCCTTAGGGATAAAATATACTAGAAAAAAAAAAATTTTACTAAAGCAAATCTAAATGGTATATCTAACTTATCAAGTGTGACTTAGGGTAATACATGAAATTTTCAACATGAACAACAGAGAAATATAGATACATTTATATATGACAAAAAGGCAAGTAAAGAGTTCTAAGACTCCTTTCTCTATTTTCCATTTAAGGGAAAAAAATAAATCTAAAATTCAGAGAGTTTTCTTCCTTCCCAGAAAGCAATCAGTCATGAAGAAACTCAGAGAAATGTCTAAATACTCACACAGCTCTTGGTTCAGAAAAGACATCAGTGTGAATGTGCATCATTAGGTCCCCACCGGCAGCATATTCCATTACAAAGCAAACATGCTCTTTGGTTTGGAAACATGCAAAAAGGTTCACCAAAAAGGGATGCCTTACACTATTCACAGTTTCAAAAATTCTTTTTTCACACATCAGGCTGTAAGAGAAACCATGAAAATATCACTGGTATTTTTTTTTTTAAAGTTCTAGTTGCAAATAAGATTCTTTAAAAATTACTAAACTCTAAAATAAGCGAAGCTCTTAATCATTATGACTTTAAAACCATAAAATATGTCATTTTGCTCTAAATGCTTTGAAAATTTGGGCTATGTGATATATAAATAACTTTAATAGAAATATATTAATGAAAACTAAATATGATCACCGTGACATAAAATTCACTATTGACAGTGCCAGAGTAGCACACCTAAGACTAGTGGTAATCATAAAAGAGTCCTAATTCGAAGTGAATTATGAAAATTTTTCAGGAATTGGTCAGAGGATTTAGCAACCTAAAGCATAATTTTAAAATATAAACTTTGTGATCAAGGTAATTTCAAGGACAGTGTATATTCATAATTTACAAGCTATGGTATCCAAATATTCTATCATATGAAGCTGAGAGGTAAAAATAAACTGCGTAACATTTTAATTCAGAAGGCTACCTGAAAAATAAAGGAGTTTCATGGAGAATTCTATAACATGCTTCAAGGAAGCTCTTGGAAAATGATACAATTTATCTATAAAATCTATGTAGCTATTCACAGGTTTTCCCTGTAAGAATTCTTATAAGCTGTTTAAAAGAGCAGCGGTCACACTTACTGACTCTGAAACATTAATTTTGCCTAAATGGCAAGAAATACCAACCTTCTGTCCCCTGAAAATATTTAGTAAATCAACCTGACTTAAAACTCAAAGCAGACATATATACACTGCTACATTTAAAGCGGATAACCAACAAGGAACTCTATTCAATACTATGTAACAGCCTAAATGGGAAAAGAATTTGAAAAATAGACACACATATACATATAACTGAAAGAAAAAAAAAAACCTCAAAGCAGAAGAAAACCAGGTCAAATATTATTCAAATATAACTTTGAATTAACGTTTTAAGGACTGATCAAAATAAATATACAAATTTAATTTTATGTTTATGTTTCTAACATAAAATAGGCATTTTCTGGTTTGTTTTTGAGACCAGAATAAAAAAACTGCTATTAAAGTTTGTTGAAAAGCATTAATAATTTTAAAATTTTATTTTAAAAAATTTAAAATTTTATTTAAAAGAATAATTATAAAATTAATGTTTAGATTTTGTGTTTATGTGTGTATGTGGTTGTTGATTTCAAAATACCAAACCAAAATTCTAATGTTAGAAGGAGGTAGACTCATTCTCCTTTCTTTGGGATCTCTTAAGAATTAATTTTAAAAAGGTTAATTTAAAGATTAAAGCATTTGTCTGGATATCCAGACTATATTGCTATGACTCAAGAAAATTAAAGAGAATTTTAAAACATTTAAAAGTATAACTGCTGTGTAGAAGGAACATGGAATTTTCACTGCTGTTAATATAGTTGAATTCTGAATGATGAACTGAAACACCTCTTCAGTTTTAAACACAGTAAATATAGCTACTATGAAATAGTGTTTACAGTACATCTAATATGGTCACATTTTAGATGAGCTCTTACCCTCTATTTCATACAATTTGTTTATAATTTTATATATACTCAGAAACCCCATTATAATTGCTTCTAGTGTTTGGCTTATGTCTACATACATTTGCAAGGTTTCTAAATGCTACTACAAATTAAGTCACTATTAGAAATAAATTCACAGATGATTAAAAAGAAAAGTTAATAGCTCTGACTTAATCACCATTTAAATTTATTGGAAAATCATGTACAATTGGGCAAGATCTGCAAATTAGATTCTAAAACAAGTGATTTACTAGGTCTATCTAAATTGTGGCTAATGAGGATAAAATATACACATGAAATAACAAACTGACAAGATGTTTTGGGCTCAAGAAGACAACAAACACGGCCTCTTCACTGTGTATCATTCATGCACGAATTACTAATCCACTATGGGTGAATTACTGATTCTCAGCTGGATGGACTATAAGGTTAGACTTGTGTTGAACATATAAATGGTCTAAAGGACTGATAAGAGTACTCCTTAAAATGGTTTTAATCCCATTCACAGAATTCTTTGATGAGGACTGACAATATTGATGAGGATTGGATATATATCTTAGGTAAAGGAGGAAAGCTCTTTTACAGACCCAAATAAGAATAATAATTCTAAACATGTTGAAGTGGCTCAGTCGTGTACGACTCTTTGCGATCCCAAGGACTGTAGTCCACCAGGCTCCTCCATCCATGGGATTTTCCAAGCAAGAGTACTGGAGTGGGTTGCCATTTCCTTCTCCAGGGGATTGTCCCGACCCAGGTATCGAACCCAGGTCTCCCACATAGTAGGCAGACACTTTACCATCTGAACCACTAGGGAAGTCCTACATCACACCAAAAAGTTGCTCCATAAGAGTTTAACTTTTCCCAATTTAATCTAAATCGTATTTCTCCTTAAAAGTCCATGAAAAACTTCAAACATTATTCATTTTGTCCAAAACATTTTTCCCTAAATTGTCATTTCTCCTCTCCATGTTCCCAAATACCTTCCATCTGCCAAAGACCAGCACAAATCAGATCTTCTTTACAAGGCCTCACCTAAATCCACCAGTGCACTGTCACTTTCATGTTTCCCCTTTTATGAGCTGTGACTGTCTATGTTGTTTATCTTTAACTCAAACATATCTAATTTCTTTTGTTTGCATAACTAATGTATTTATGGTTTATCTCCCTAAGTGACTAGCTCAATTCTAACATTTTTTGGCATACTTCCTTTAGTACATTATTAGATATGTTAGAAACTTAAAAACTGTATAAATAGTTATTTTGGTCAGTGGAAAATCACATCACTAATAAGGCTAATCTTAGGATTAAAGCATATATATGTATATATGATATATATAAAAAATCTGGCTAGCTTTGTTTTTATTCTGAAATTGCAAAAATGTACTTCCAAGTCTATTCTGTTGCTTGGAAATTTGAACTGGTACAGTAACTAAGCTGAATGAGGAGGCATAACTGTAACATACATTTAACATTCTTACTTAGGAGTAGGGGAAGATGGCACTCAGAAAGCTCTACTAATGGTGGAAAACATGACCTTCGTACATGAATTGCATTACTTCAAAGTTAGTGCACAATTTGTGTAAAGGCAGTAAAAAATGTTCAAACTTCCAGTTATAAGATAAGTAAGTACTAGAGATATAATGTACAATATGATAAATAAAATTAACATTGCTATATGTTATATATGAAAGTTGTTAAGAGAATAATTCATGAGCTCTCATAACAAGGAAAAATATGTATTTTTCTATTTTTTGAATTTTGTATCTATATGATGCTCACTTAACACTGTGATAATCATTTCATGATGTACATAAATCAAATAATGATGCTGTACACCTTAAACTTATACAGTACTGCAGCTCAATTCTGTCTCAATAAAAGTAGCAGAAAACAAAAAGAAACCAAATAACAAAAAATAAGCTGGTTTGGAATTTTCTATGATGTAAGTAAAATAATAAGATTCATACTAGAAAAATAAAATTTAGAAAATAAAACTGACATTAAGAACCATCAAGTTTTCCAGAAATATCTATTTAAAAAACTGTACTTATATGCAATAACACTGAATTCTATGGATCTATTCAAAGAATGAACTGAGATGTGGATATAATGGATTTTCCTCAGTTATTTACTATTCAGACTTTCAAGTTACATTATTTTTAAAAGCATGCTGGTCTATTTTCTTATTTTCTAAATTAACTTTTTTCTTGCCCTCCTATAATTGTTTCTTTTTGATGCTTTCCTCAAATTTCTCTAAGAGCAAGTTTTATTTCTCACTCTGAATTTTACATTTCCCTGTTTCTACCTCAGATTATTTTACTTCCATGTTACCAAATAAGTGGATTTATAACTGAAGTAAAATGAAGATCACTCATCAACCTTTCACTAAGGCTAGATTAATTCTGAATAAGGTCCGGGAGTAGGTGATGGACAGGAAAGCCTTGGGTACTGCAGTCCACGGGGTCGCAAAGAGACGGACATGCCTGAGGGGCTGAACTGAGATTAATTTTGTTGTTGTTCAATTGCTCAGTCATGTCTATTTGTGACCCCATGGAACAGCAGCACACCAGGCTTCCCTGTCCTTCACCATCTCCCAGAGCTTGCTCAAACTCATGTCCATTGAGTCAGTGATGCCATCCAACCATCTCATCCTCTGTCGTCCCCTTCTCCTACCTTCAATCTTTCCCAGCATCACACCCTTTCCTAACGAGTCGGCTCTTCACTTCAGGTGAAGAAAGTATTGGAGCTTCAGCATCAGTCCTTCCAAGGAATATTCAGGATTGATTTCCTTTAGGATTGACCGGTTCACTCTCCTTGCAGTCCAAGGGACTCTTGCAGACCAAAAGTCTTCTCCAACACAACCATTAAGCATCAATTCTCTGGCACTCAGCCTTCTTTAGGATCCAACTCTCACATCTGTAGATGACTATCGGGAAAGTCATAGCTTTGAGTACGCAGACCTTTGTTGGCAAAGTGATAGCTCTGCTTTTTAATATACTGCCTAGGTTTGTCACAGCTTTTCTTCCAAGGGGCAAGTATCTTTTAATTTCACGGCTGCAGTTGTCATCTGCAGTGATAGGAGCCCAAGAAAATAAAGTCTCTCACTGCTTCCCTTGTTTCCCCATCTATTTGCCATGAAATGACAAATGCCATTTGGGACCAGATGCCATGATCTTCGTTTTTTGAATGCTGAGTTTTAAGCCAGTTTTTTCACTCTCCTCTTTCACATTTATCAAGAGGCTCTCTAGTTCCTCTTATCTGAGGTTATTGATATTTCTCCCAGCAATCTTGACTCCAGCTTGTGCTTCATCCAGCCCAGCATTTCACATGATGTATTCTACATATAAGTTAAATAAGCAGGGTGACAATATACAGCCTCAATGTACTCCTTTTCCAATGTGGAACCAGTCTGTTGTTCCATGTCCAGTTCTAACTGTTGCTTCTTGATCTGCATACAGGTTTCTCAGAGGCAGGTAAGGTGGTCTGGTATTTCCATCTCTTGAAGAATTTTCCAGTTTGTTGTGATCAACACAGTCAAAGGCTTTAGCGTAGTCAATGAAGCAGAAGTACATTTTTTTCTGGAATTCCCCTGCTTTTTTCTATAATCCAATGAAAAGTAAAGTGAAAGTTGCTCAGTCATGTCTGACTCTGCGACCCCATGGACCATGGAATTCTCCAGGCCAGAAACCTGTAGTGTGTAGCCTTTCCCTTCTCGAGGGGATCTTCCCAACCCAGAGATCAAACCCAGGTCTCCCACACTGCGGGAAGATTCTTTACCAGCTAAGCCACAAGGGAAGCCAAAGAATACTGGAGAGGGTAGCCTATCCCTTCTCCAGCAGCTCTTCCTGACCCAGGAATCAAACCAGGGTCTCCTGCATTGCAGGTGGATTCTTTACCAACTGAGCTATGAGGGAAGCCCTAGCTTATTATGATCCAAAGGATGTTGGTAATTTGATCTCTGTTCCTTTGCCATTTGTAAATCCAGCTTGATGATCCGCGACTTCTCGGTTTCAATACTGTTGAAGCCTAGCTTGGAGAATTTTGAGCATTACTTTGTTAGCGTGTGACATGAGCAGAATTGTGTAGTAATATGAACATTCTTTGGCATTGTCTTTCTTTGGGACTGGAATGAAAACTGACCTATTCTAGTCCTGTGGCCACTGTTGAACGAGTTTTCCAAATTTGATGGCATATTGAGTACAGCACTTTAACAGCATCATCTTTTAGGATTTGAAATAGCTCAACTGGAATTCCATCACCTCCACTGGTTTTGTTCATAGTGATGCTTCCTAAGGTACACTTGACTTCGCACTCCAGGATGTCTGGCTCTAGGTGAGTGAACCTACTATTGTGGTTATCTGGGTCATTATGATCTTTTTTGTATAGCTCTTCTGTGTATTCTTGTCACCTCTTAAAGTAGGGGTAATGTCCTCAGTTCAGTTCAGTCGCTCAGTCATGTCTGACTCTTTGCGACCCCATGAACCACAGCACACCAGGCCGCCCTGTCCATCACCAACTCCCGGAGCCCACCCAAACCCATGTCCACTGAATCTGGCTAAGTTTCATCCTCTGATCCAGACATTCTTCTTTAATAGTAATATTAACATTATTCTATCTATATTTAATTGGAAAGTTTTTTTTCCTACAGAGATGTGGCTCAAAGCAGTAACAATGTAGCAGAAAGTTATATAAACCACTGACTAATTACCACTTTCATATTACTAACTATTATTATAGGCTATAAATGAATTTACCATATATGGATCTGGAATAAAGCAAATATTCTTCCAGAAAAGAAAAACATCTGACTGTACTATTATTGTAATTAAAAACAGACTGACAGTGTAATTAAAGGTTTGCTTTAACTACTGATGTAAATGTTAGTATACACTATGGTGTTCAGAATATTTTATAAATATTATGCAAAATCCTGAGTAGTTTTAGATCAAGGAAGAGTTTATTTTGATATAATTGAGGAGTATGAGAAACAGATAAAATATAAAGAGGCAAATCCAAAAGGAAAAGATTTACATAAAGGAAATGCTCATCTTTTAAGACTGATTCTAAGAACGTTCCATACAATGGAAATATATTAAAAATAGCAATGTTCAGGATGATAGATGTTTCAGGAGAACAGCATTGAAACATGTATATTATCTAGGGTGAAACGGATAACCAGCTCAGATTGGGTACATGAGACAAGTGCTCGGGCCTGGTGCACTGGGAAGACCCAGAGGGATCGGGTGGAGAGGGAGGTGGGAGGGGGGACTGGGATGGGGAATACATGTAAATCCATGGCTAATTCATATCAATGTATAACAAAAACTACTGTAATGTAAAGTAATTAGCCTCCAACTAATAAAAATTAAAAAAAAAAAGAAAAAAAAAATAGCAATTTGATATATTATATGGCAATAATCCAATTCAGTAAGGCAAGTATTACCAAAAAATGTATTTTAAAAATATGTGGGTTAACTGAGGCTCAAAGATGTTCAGTGAATTGCCCTGGGACCAAATCATTAATTAAGAAGGAACAATCAGGCCTAGAGAATCTTTTCACTCATAATCCCAGGCTGTTTTATTTGGGCTGTCTTCTAGTAATATCAACTGATGCTTCCTGGTTATTCTAAATATCAAATAAACGTCTCTTTCTGTAATAAAATGCCGTTTTACTATACAACAATTTCCATGTTGACCCACTTCATTAATTTGAGGTAGTCTTTTTAAAGTATATTCTCTAACCTAATTACAATATTATCCCCAAAGTCCTCACATTTTAATAATCATATATGAAGAAATGAATCCAAACCAATTTACACACAGAAAGGAAAGATGCTGTGGTCAAAAGCTACCATTTTAAGAGAAATAGAGCAAAAAATAGATATAGGTATATTTTAAAAAGCAGAATGAATTAACCACTTAACTGAAGATTACTCGTAAATGACATCTTATCACTTCTGTAGTATGAAATGCAAAATAGCCTCACCCAACCACAGATCTGTAATAGTTCCTAATTCATACAAATACTTCAACATTTCCAAGTATAAAAACTTATTAGAATTAGTTTAAACATTTCATCAACTTTTTTTGGTATTCACCAGGCAGTAAAATGTCATAAGAATGGGAAGAGGGAATTAGCTAGAAATAAAAACAATATTTAATCAATACCCATCTCATGCATTAATTTAGTTTCTTATTACATTTGACACCTGAACAACATGGGGGTTAATCGTGCATAATTTATAGTCAGCCCTTTGCATCTGCAGTTCTTCCACATCTATGAATTCACCAACCACAGACTATGTAATATTATAGCATTTACTAAATGAAAAATATCCATATTTAAGTGAACCCATGTAGTTGACGATCATGTTATTCAATGATCAACTGTATTATGAAAAGAGAAAACTTTATCATTTCAATATATACTGCATATATCGATTTTCTTAAGTTATAACTTTAGAAAAGTGTAACAATTTCATTTTTAAAAAACTAACCTGTCTACTTCATCTCGTGCCACAATGTCTCCTTTCTTTAAGGCTTTTATAGCAAACATTTCATTTGTGTGTTTATATTCAGCCAAAAGCACCTGAAATTAGATTAAAATAATTATTTCTCATTTGAATGATTACTTGTAAGCATTCTAAGAATGCCTACAAAGAAAGAAAATTTAAAAGATTACCTTTCCAAAATGTCCTCTACCCAAGACAGCACAACACCTGAAGTCTTGTAGATTGAATTGAAACATTTGTTGAGATCTGAAAACAGTAATGCCAATTAAAAATAAGGCAAAAGTATGGGACCGAACATGTAAGTAAAGCTGTGGATATATTCTTTACCTTCTGTCCTCAAGTTCATGGATACCACTATACTCTAGGCCTGACTGAGGGATATCAGGCTCATATTCAGATTGAGATTTTGGAAGTATTCTATTTCTGTCATTCTCAGTATCAAAAACAGTTTCTGAATCCTGTAAAATAGTAAACACTCATTAAATCATAGAAACATTCAGAAAACAACTTATTAGGTAAGAATAAAGAAAAAATGTTAAGTCAAAATAAATATGAATGAGAAAGTAAAATTCAGATATTATTATTAGACATTCACTTTTATGGTCATTAATTATATAATACTCATCTTAAAAATGTAAAAAATGAATAATAAAAACACTAATTTGAAAAGATACAGGAGCTCCAATGTTCACAGCAGCACTATTTACAATAGCTAGTTTCATGGAAGCAACCAAGTGTCCACCAACAAACCATTGGTTTAAGAAGATGCGGTATATACATATGGCCAATAGGCACATGAAAGGGTATCCTCTTACACTGTTCATAGGAATATAAATTGGTGCAGCCACTAAAGAAAATAGTATAGAGGTTCCTCAAAAAAATAAAAATACAGTTGCCCTATAATCCAGCAATCCCACTCATGGGCATATACTGGGACAAATCTCTAATTCAAAGAGATACATGCACCCCTATGCTCTTGCAGCACTATTTACAATAGCCAAGGCATGGAAATAACCTAAATGTCCACTGACAGATGAATGGATAAAGAACATCTGGTGTGTGCGTGTGTGTGTATATATAAACATATATATATGTATATATATAAACATATATACAGACACACAATGGAATTACTCAGCCATTAAAAAAGAATGAAATAATGCCATCTGCACTAACATGGATGGTTCGAGAGATTATCATGCTAAAATGAATTAAATCAGAAAGAAAGACAAATACCACATGATATCATTTATATGTGGAATCTAAAATATAACACAAATGAACATATCTACAAAACAAAGCACTCAGAAATATACAGAAAGATCTGTGGTTGTCAAGGGTGATGGGGTTTGGGGGAGGAAAGGATTGGCAATGTGGGATTAGCAGACTCAAACTACTATATACAGGATGGATAAACAGCAAGGTCCTACTATATAGTGTAAGAAATTATATTCAATATCTTGTGATAAACTGTAATGGAAAAAATATATGTATAACTGAGTCACTCTGCTCTACAGAAGAAATTAAGCACAACATTGTAAATCAACTATACTTCAATAAAATTGTTTTAAAATGTGGTATATAGATATACAATGGAAAATTAATCTCTGCCCACAAAAAGAATGAAATAATGCCCCCTACAGCAATATGGATGGACCTAGAGAATATTACCATTAGTGAAGTAAGTCAGACAGAGGAAGAAATGGTATGTATCACATATGTGGAATCTAAAAAATAATGTAAATGAATGTATTTACAAAACAGAAACAGACTTATAGATTTAGAAAACAAAACTGTGGTTACCAGGGGGAGAAGGAATAGGAGAGGGACAAACTAAGGGTATAGGATTATTAGATACAAACTTCTATAAATAAAATAGATAATAGGATATATTGTATGGCACAGGAAATTATAACCATTATCTTGTAAAAAGCTATAATGAAATAGAATCTGAAAAAAAATACTGAATCACTATGCTGTATACCTGAAACAGTGTTGTAAATCAATCATATTTCAATTAAAAAATGAATACATTACTTCATTTTATATGCATTTTCAGGTTATCACGTTAACATAGTTAGAAGATGCACAGTGTCAGGAAATACTTCATTTAATATCAGCCATACTCCCCAGCTCCTAGAATAAGCAACCTATTCCATCTCTATTGGCCATGCGCATCCAGAGGTTTTTATGTTTCACTCACAAGAAACAACTTAAAAGTGCATCTCATTCACTATGATGCTATACTGTTAATTGCTCAGTTGGGTCTGACTTTTTGTAACCCCATGTAGTCCGCCAGGCTCCTCTTTCCGTGAGGATTCTCCAGGGAAGAATACTGCAATGTGTTGCTATGTCCTCCAGGGGATCTTCCTTACCCAGGGATCCAATCCCAGTCTCCCACATTGCAGGCAGACTCTTTTCCATCTGAGCCACAAGGGAAGCCCAATGATGCTACAGCTGGTAAATTACCATGATGCTATAAGTGGTCATTTATTTGGTGAAAAGGAATTATACAAGGTTTAAAATGCCTTACCTGTCCTGGTGTATCCAAATCTCTTACAGATTCATCTATTTCTCCAAGGGAAGAATCACGTGGTGGGGCTGGAGGAGGCTCAGGTTCAAGATCAAAGTCCAACTTGGTTACTGTGGAATCACTTATAAAAGATAAAGCAATTCACCAAAAGCAGTAATCAAAAATATATATTTTAAATAGCTTTAAAATTAAAGCAAATAATTTTATTGTTTTTAAAAGTAAGTAGAGCACTAACTTCAAAATACTATTTGGAAAAAATGAGACTTCTAATAGATTTACTGTAATCAATATGTATGAGTGTCACAATAATTATTTTATAAAAGCTTAAAAATGTTAAAACACATACCTAGCTGGAGGTGCTAATTCAGGGATGCGTACATCAACCACTGGCACTGTAGCAGGAACAGGGGCTTGAGGGCTAAAGGTGCCAGAATGATTTACTGTAGGAATAGCTCTTCTCACAAGTCTTCCCCAAGTGGCGATATTAATATTCATTTGAGGAGCTCTGAGAAAGGTTTTGCCTGTGGATATTGTAAATAAAGAAAACCGAACAAGTAATTTTTGAATATATTACCAAAAGCCATAACTGAAAAATTCATATTCATTGGTTTATAATTTATGAAGAACAAACAGTATCTGTCATTTAAAAAAACAGTTCTTAACTATTTGTTATTAAAGGCTAGTGCAAAAAAGCAAAATCAGTTTAAAAAATAAATAAGTAGGAATTGCTCATTTAAGTCTAGTAACGATAAGCAGTTAAGGTTGAAAAAAAAAGGAATTCTTATCTTTTAGAGATACTAACTGTAATATTTATGGATGAATCAATATGATGTCTGGGTTCACTTCAAATAAGCTGAGGAAGTTTTGAGTAATGGAACATGGATGAAACAAAATTGGACATGAGTTGACTGTTGTTGAAGCTGAGTGATGTTACATTGCACTAGTCTCTATGCATATGTGTATGCTTAAAATTTTTCCTAATAAAATTAAGTAAATAATTGAACAAATAAGCAAAAAGCAAAGATGGGTATCACTTTTTAAATAGTATGTACATTTTAAAATATTTAAGATAACACCAAAACACTTTGTACCTGATTTCTTAGTAATTACCTTGCTGTTTGGAAAAAATTTTCTTTTGTCTTTGGAGTTTTGGTCTTCTTTCAATAACTGGATTAAAAAAGGTAACCTGCAGTGAAGAAAACTTAAGTTGACATGAATACAGCATTAGATTCTTGGTTCATGAAATTCAGTAAACGTCTAAGTTTTAAAAACTTAAGAGAATCTGAGATATAATTATTTCCATTCCCTCATTTTCTAGATGAGATAATAGACCTACAAAAGAAAAATGATTTGTCATAGGGTAATATACTATTTAGTGGCAGAGTTGAGCCAAGAATTCAAGTTATCTGTCATTCAGCCTAAATACTCTTCCCACTTCTATATCATGTTGCTTACATATATAATTTCAATTGCAGTTATGCATATTTAAAATAAATACATTTATTACCTCTGCAAATAAAGTACCCTGTGGTTCCAAATAGAGACACATGCCATGCCGTTGGTTGTCTAAAAAATCTTCTAACCTCAGAAATTTTACAGCACACAGAGATCGCCAATCACGCCAATAAACTGAAATTTCCAGTTCACGTGACTAGAATAATTAAATAAAAAATAAAGAAAACAGGGAAGACATCATTGGACACACATGTGAATAAAATATTACAAAAAATACAAAATACAAATACAATAAACAAAGATAACATACACAATGGTCACACTATTTTAAAGAGTGCTTTTATAATGTTTCTCTATTATGTATTACTTTAACAAACATATATTTTACTAAAAGGAAGAAATTTATATTCTGATACTCCTCACTTAAGGCATTCCTTTTAGATAAAAGAATACATAACTGGGAACTAACAATACAGATGAATGACCACAGAAACTCTTCCCCATCTCACAGCTTCAATATCTTTTGGATTTTCCTCTTCCAACTGGCATCATTTGTTGTGCTATTGTACTGACCTCAGTGTTCACCTCAAAGAACCCATTTCAAACCTTTTTCTTTCTTTCTTATTTATTTGGCTATGTGACATGTAGGATCTTCCCCGGCCAGGGACTGGACCTGTGGCTCCTGCGTTGGGAGTGTGGAGTTTTAACCACTGGACTACCAGGGGAGTCCAAACCTTACTTATCTCGATGCCAAATCAGAAAAACGTCTGTAAACAGCATTTATTCTCTACTTTCAGTGTTCCACACACTGTGCCAAACACTGTTAAGAATGTTAGGTCATTTAATGTTCTAAAGAATAATACTGAGTAACAGGACCAGTGATTATAGGCGTCTGCGTAGGTCAGCAGCAAACAGAAAACTAAGTTTCTTACAGAATGATGCTCATTTATTACAATATTAGACAAAGCACAACAAAAAAGCCGCACAAAACCAGGGACAAGTATATTATACCATATCTACATGAGGGAAAACTCTACAGTCACTAAAAATAATGCTTATGTGGAAAAAGATATTTAAGGTTTTCACAATCAATCATTAAATATACTTGTAGAACACAGTTTATAATTTGGAGGTGAAGCCATAAAAAGACCTCTACAAACACATAATCTACATAGATTTAAATTATAAAGCATGACTTCTCCATTCTGTTTTTCAGAATTTTGTGGATCATCCATAGAAAGAGACAAATGTTTTTTCCTTCAGGCTCAACAAAGTAATACATTATTTCTTTCATATAAAAACTTTCAATTTGTGAACTTATGCATCTTGTTATCTAGACTCCTAGTATGCATAATAAAAATTATTTGACTTTGAATAATAAAACTAGGTGATGGAAATGAACACAGAAAATACCTACAAAAAAAAAAACACATGAAAAAAATTAGTCAAGGCACAAAGCGCTCGAAGGCCTCACAGACGATCAGGAAGAATGACGAGGAAAAGACACCTTGGCAGTGAACACACAAGCTGAGGACCTCCTACCTCACTGCTGCTTTCTGATATTACTAATGGAGAGAATATTTGTCATCAAAGGGGAAGTATAATTATTTCAAGATCAACAATGGCATTTAGAAGTGCTGAGTATTAATGCTATAATATTCTATTCAAGTTAGAATCTTAAGTATTTTGAAAATAGTTATCTTTGGAACTATAAACTGCATAACTGAACCAGAGGTTGGTAATTTAGACTACATTATTTTAGACTAGAAATGGAGAAGTCTATTTTCTGTATTCTCCAACAATATCAGGGAGGAAAGCTTGTTTTGAATCAAGCAAATCAAAGTAGTACTGATGATGGGGATGGAATTAGTAATACTTAAAAGTTGTTATACTTTTCACACTGTGACTAACACTTTCACTTTCATAATAATATAAACCCTAAGTTACTGATTTAATCTAATTATTTGGAAGAATGAGGACAGGAGTGTGGATAGTTTAATAGTATGTATTGGTAATTTCTGATAATGCAAACCAATAAACAGGAATTCCTTGAGAAGTTCTCTACTAATCTTGTCCTCATTCCTACATCTCAGCCTCTCACTCCCACCAGTATCTACAATCTTTCCACAGCCTCAGCTCTTTGCATCCCTCTCTCTGACACCATCACCTCCAAACATTCTAGTAGCTCAGTCTTTCTAGCCCCTCCACATCCACTGACTGTTACTTCTAATCCACTAATCCTACTACATTTCTACTGGCTCCCATTCCATCAATGATCTCTTCTTCCTTTTCCATTGATCAGTGAACATTCTTTAGTAGTCTGCTCTTAACAGAACTGGTTTCTGTTAAAATTTTTTCAAGCTTCAATTCATCCTGTTTCTAATATTGATAAAGATGGTTCCCCATTACACGAGCAAAGTTAATCAAAAGGAAATGTGAATGGGAAAATGTTATATATAAGGATTCTTGCTTTTTATTTCAATCTCTCATGAGAGGATTAAACTTTTTACTAGAGGAAGGCTGAGGGAATTCAGAAAAAAAGTGAAATTAGATAGCCATTGTGTTTCTAATAAACATTAGTAAAGACCAAATTTTGTAAGAAAATATAAAAAGAGTAACCTGATAAGAACAGAAAGAACTCAGAACTGATAGTACACTTCAGATCCTAGTTTATACTTTGGGCTAGTTATTTAACCTCTAGGGCACAAAATATCCTTACTAATCTGTAAAATGAGGAGGCTGGATTACATCAGTAATTTTCAAAACTTTTTTTTTAAACTGCCAATTTCAAATGACATCTTACCCTGAATCTCAAAACAAAATCAAAACAAAACACACAGAATTGTGTTGCATCTGAAATGATTCTGCAAGAGCCCTGAGCTCCCAGGAACATAATTTTAACTTTTCTAGATCATTCTAAATCTAGATAATTTCTAGAGTATCTCAAATCTCTAAAAAGACCTATCTGGGAGTTCCCTGTGGCCTAGAAGTTTAAATTCTGGGCTTTCACTGCCATGGCCTGAATTCAGTTCCTTGTTGGGAAACTGAGATTTCACAAGTTACATGGCATGACCAAAAATACAACATAAATTAAAAAACAAATGAAAAGACCTATGAATTTTTGTATTTTGGAAAAGAAAGAAACAGTATAGACAACTTAGTTCTAGGATGTCATAGCAAAGAAGCTCAACATGAGGCAAAATGCTAAGCATGAACATGTCAGTTTAAAATAATATCTTCTATAAATGTTTCTATAAACATTTTCTATAAATAAATATTCTAAAAGTATAAGGGATAAAATAAAAACTAAAAAAGTATATGAAAGGTAAAATATACTACATAAACAGAAGGATTTATTATGATTAGCAATGTGGCCTTCCCCAAAGAGGAGCTTATAATCCAGTTAGGGATAGGTAACACGCACATTAGGAACCCAGAAGGTCGAACTGGCCTAAGGGATGAATAGCTTTACTTAGCTATGCAGTGTCTTCAAAGTTTCAAGGGAGAATTACTTCAAAGTGGGAAGAAAGTCTCATGTCATGAAGAAGAAATACAATTTCAGATGAAGATTACAGTGCAAGTAGAACATTACCAAACAACAGTTATCAAACTTTGTAGTTTTCTAAGTGTGTAGCTTGGGTAATAATAAATAATTCACTCTTTACCAGGTTTTCATCATATTCTGCTATTTCTTCATTTTTGCCACTGTTAACTTTCTATTTCATACAAATTACCAAGGGAGAAAGAGCATTCTGAAGGACACTCATGGTCTACTATCAGCTCTGAAATTTATCAACATATAATCACTCTGAAAGGAGATCAAACCAGTCAATCCTAAAGGAAAATCATCCTAAAGGAAAACGGTCCTGAATATTCATTGGAAGAACTAATGCTGAAGCTGAAACTTCAATACTTTGGCTACCTGATGGGAAGAACTGACTCACTGGAAAAGACCCTAATGCTGGGAAAGGCTGAAGGCAGGAGGAGAAGGGAACAACAGAGGATGGGATGGTTGGATGGCATCACCGATTCAATGGACATGAATTTGCGCAAGCTCCAGGAGTTGGTGATGGACGGGGAGGCCTGGTGTGCTGCAGTCCATGGGGTGACAAAGAGTTGGACATGACTGAGAGACTGAACTGAACTGAATCACTCTGGTTCTCAGTTTGCTTATCTATAAAACGATGGCAAGAAATTTTACTACTTTTAAGATCTATTTTAAGTATAAAACTCTATTACAATAACCTGGCTACAAGAAAAATCTAAGCAGCCACTTTCCCTTTAACAGTGTATCTCCCTATGTTTCATTTTGATCATATCATTCATTAAAACCCTATAGTTTGAATAGGCTCTGAAATGAAAGAAAATGACAGTCAACCAATTGATTTCCCATTACTTAACATGCTCTTCTGTTATACTCAAATTCATAGCCATACATGAACGCCTAGGGCTAAAAGAGCTAATGTCATTTAACAGTTAATGTGCCAGGCAACACAAGACATTTTATACACACTACCTCAGTATTTCTTCCTAACAGTCCTATAAAGATTATATGATATTCCCATTTTAGAGATGGTGAAACAAATATCCATTAGTAAGTTATATACCTTGTCTACCATCAAATAGCTAATAAGTAAATAGACAATGAACTGTTTGTCTGGCTTCAAAGCCAATGTTATAGCAAACCTATTATATTAAGAATGAAGGGAAACAGGAACATTTTATAATTCTAAATATTTATATACATTTACAACTCAGAAGGAAGATTCAAGTACAATAAGACATGAAAATAATATTTACATACACTAACAACCTCAACTGTATTTTCTTCTCTAGTGGCTTGGCTGAATTATGTTGGTCTAACTAAACAGCTAATTTGGAGCATATAACAATGCTAGCTCTAGAAAATATCAGAACTGGAAAAAGAGAAAATATCAGAATTTTAAAAAACTTGGAAGTGGGATCTTTTTCTGATCAAAGTTCCCTTAAGTCTCTCTTATAACTTACTAATTCAACTTTATCGTGAGAGCCTCGCAAAACTAAAAATAGAGCTACCATACGATCTTGCAATATCATTCCTGAGCATATATCATGAGAAAAACATGGTCCAAAAGAATACATGCATCCCAGTGTTTATTGCAATTCTGTTTACAACTGTCAAGACATGGAAACAACCTAAATATCCATCAACAGAAT